TTATCAGGATGACCATAGTGTCTAAGCCTACTTCTCTGTCCAAGTACAAGGTCATTTTCATGTCTGAAGCCTACTTCTCAAGCAAATTATTTAATTCTAGAAGTAATGTATATGTAATTTAAAAATTGCTAAAGAAAAGACCATGGAATTATACTCAGATAGTGTATTATCATTGCAAGTGCTTTTATTCTGGAGACAATATCAGAAGAACAAGATGCAAAGAATTGGAAAGTCAGTACAATAAGGATTATGCATGCAAAATGTGTATGTATATAAGAATATCTGTGTACATGTAATCTTGAGCATATAAATAACTATACCATTTCATAATCTGTATACGTCTTCATATTCCCACCCATTTTCTTTTAATGTGCAATTTCTATTTAGAACACAATGTGGAATCTATTGTATGACTATTCTCAACAAGAAAAGTATGGTGCTGATAGCACCAGAAAATTAACTTTACATTTAATTTTGAAGTTAATTCAGTAAAAATATATTTCTTATCTTTCCAAAGAGTTGTGCGAAGAAGGAAAAACAGCTAAAGTTTGTGAGGAAACCTTTATACCGCACAAATCAATATGTATCTTTTTCTTCATCTGCGGGCAAATACTACATGGAATAGCAGGGATGTCAATTTATATACTTGGCGTAACCTTCATTTTTGACCATGTTCCAACAAAGTCATCTGGATTTTATTTAGGCAAGTTTTTTTTTTTTTGTATGTATAGCCTATTTTGTATAATTATCAGATTTCTGTGTGGTTTAACTGATAAGTAAGTACTGTTGCCTAGGTGATAACCCTGTGCTACAGAATGATGACTTGGTTTCATAATAATAAAATCACATTGATATATGTAATTATGAGATTTGTAACAGTAGTCAAATCATCTAAATATCACTGAAAAGTTTTACAAGAATAGAAAGTACAGGAATGTTTTAAGTGGCAAATTTTTTTCTATGTCTCCATTTCTCTCTTCTTGAGAGAGTGGGAGCAGATATGGAGGATCAAGGAGAGGGTAGAGAGAAGGTTACAGGGTGGGGGTAGAAGGAGATAGCTGCACACAGTATCATCTCTTTAATTTACACTGTCTTATGTAAACTGTTTCTTGCATTAAATAAGCATTGATTCAATCTGAAATAATCTATCTGTTAACCTATTGATTCTGATCCTGGTAGGCAAGAATGAAGTATTTTCACAGATCTGTTAGATATCATTTTTCCTTTCTTTTATTAGACATTTTATTTATTTACATTTTAAATGATTGCCTACTTCCAGGTTATCCCTCCACATTCCATCTCCCCTCTCCCCTCTCCCCTCTGCTTGTATGAGGGTGCTGCTCCATCAATTCAGTCACTTCCACCTAACCCCTTTAGCATCTCCCTATGCTGAGGCATCAAGCCTCCCTCCCCCCATTGATGTCAAATAAGGCCATCCTCCACTTCATATGTATCTGGAGTCCTGGCTCCCTCCATGTGTACTTTTTGGTTGGTGGTTTAGTTCCTGGGAGCTCTGGCAGGTTCAGTTAGTTGATATTGTTCTTCATCCGTGATTGCAATTGCATTTAGCTCCTTTGGTCCTTCTCATAGCTCTTTGATTGGGGTCCCCAGGCTCAGTCTGATTGTTGACTGTGAGTATGTGTATCTGTATTGAGTATGTGTATATGTATTGTTCAGGTGCTGGTAGACCCTCTCAGAAAACAGCCATATTAGGCTCCTGTCAACAAGCCCTTCTTGTTAACAGCAATAGTGTGGGTTTGGTGTTGGCAGATGGGATGGATCCCTTGGTGGGGCAGTCTCTGGATGTCCTATCCTTCAGTCTCTGTTCCATTTTTGTCTCTGTCTTTTCCTTAGGATAGGAGCATATCTGGTTTAAAAATTTTGAGCTGAGTGGGTAGCCCCATCCCTCAACTGGGGTCCTGCCTATCTATTGGAGTTGGTTATATTTTTGTTTTGTTGGTTATTTCTGCTAAAGTCATTGCCATTGGGTCCTGGGAGCCTCATGCTTCTCTGGACTCTGGGACTTTCTAGTGGCTAAACCTATTTTCCCCATCTTCCAATGATACATTTCTATTAAATTTTCTTTCCTGTCCCTTCCAATATCTGATCATGCTCCCCTTTTCCATCCTTCTCATCACTCCCTCCCAGATTCCGTTTTCCCTCTACTTCCTGTGATTACTTTGTTCCAAGTTCTATGTAGGATTGAAGCATCTATGTATTATTCTTTCTTCTAATTAAGCTATATATGGTTTGTGGGGTGTATTTTGCTTATTCTGAGCTTTTGGGCTAATATGCACTTATTAGTGAGTACATCCTCTGTGTGTTCTTTTATGCTTGGTTATCTCACTCAGGATGATATTTTCTAGTTCCATCCATTTGCTTATAAATTTCATGAAGTTGTTTTTAATAGCTGAGTATTACTCCATTGTGTAAATATACTACATTTTCTGTATCTATTCTTCTGTTGAGGGAAATCTGGATTGTTTCTAGCTTCTGGCTATTTTAAATAAGGCCCATATAAACATAGTGGAGCATGTGTACTTGTTATGTATTGGAGCATCTTTTGGGTATATGCCCAGTAGTGCTCTAGCTGGACCTTCAGGTAGACCTATTTCCGGTTTTATCAGGAACTTCCAGATTGACTTTCAAAGTGATTTTACCAGCTTGTAGTCCCACCAGCAATGGAGGAGTTACTCTCTTTCTAGTTTTCTTTGCCAGCATCTGATGTCCCTGTGTTTTGTTAACTTAGCCATTCTGATTGGTGTGAGATAGAATGTCAGGGTCATTTTGATTTGCATTTCCTTGATGACTAAGGATGTTGAATATTTCTTTAAGTGCTCCTCAGCCATTTGAGATTCCTTAGTTGAGAATTTTCTATTGAGTTCTGTACTTCAGTTCTTTACAGAAACTTTTCAATTTTATGAGGTCCCATTTGTCAATTCTTGATCTTAGAACATGAGCCATTGGTGTTCTGTTCAGGGAAATTTCCCTGTGCCAATGTGTTAGAGATTCTTTACTCTTTCTCTTCTATTAGATTCAGTATATCTGGTTTTATGTGGAGGTTCTTGATCCACTTGAACTTTAGCTTTGTACAAGGAGCTAAGAATTGATTGACTTGCATTCTACATGTTGAGTGGATCCAGCACCATGTGTTGAAAATGCTGTCTTTTTTCCACTGGATGGTTTTGCCTTCTTCGTCAAGTAGGAATTGATCATAAGTGTATTGGTTTATTTCTGGGTCTTCAAAACATCATCCCTTGTGGGGCAGTTAGCTCTCTCATGAGTGCAGTTGCATGGGTCCTATTGGGTGGGCTTGTGGTTCCCGAGTGTCTGCCATGGATCAGAGAGGCAAAAGCGAGTGGGAACTTTGACTGTGTTTACTCACCGCAGCTTTGGACAGACACTGTGGGACTCATGCCCAGGCGTGGGGAGATCTCACTCAGTCTGAAGTTATGCAGTGGGCAGGGCTCTTGAGTAGACCCAGAGGCCAGTGGTCTCCATTCTAGGCTCCGAGACACCTCTGGGGGCCATGGAAAAACAGAGATGCAAGAGAAACAAGGAGAGAAAGAGAGGCCCTGGCAGCCCCAGCAGGTAGCACTTGCTTGGCTGGATCAAGGCTCGGCTAGCTTGGTTGAATCAGTGGCCTTCATGGTGGGAACATAGAAAGGTCTTCCATGGGTGATTAGATGATGGTTTCAGAGTTGAGACCTTCTCCATGGTTCCCCATGGTGGGCCCCAAAGACATGAGGAAGTCCATGGTTTTAAAAGCTTTATTGTCATGGTGGATGGTTGATGAATCTGGATGTACTCCACTGAAATTCAGGGCAGACCTGAGTTAAATAGTGAGGGAGGAAGGAATAAGGTCTGGGAAGAAATACTTAATTGGCTACGCCCTCTGGCCTTTAGGTATCTCATTAATATGGAAATCTCTTGAGGTTGAGGCCTGTAGTCACATCCTCTACCTGTACTAGGTGACACAAACCTCTTTGGGAGGGGCTACATTGCCTTATGTGACTGAAAAGGTTGGACCAATGGAGGTCTTGTTAGGAGCCTGGAATCTGGGGGCATGGCCAAACACCTACCATTGTCCCATTAGGGTCCGGGGTTCGAGGCCTACGCTCGACCAGGAACCAAGCTATTCTTTCTTGGTCCCACAATCTTTCACAATAATATCAAATATCTTGGTGTGACTCTAACCAAGCATGTGAAAGATCCATATGACAAGTACTTCAAATCTCTGAAGAATAAAATCTCAGACAATGAAAAGTTCTCCCATGGTCATGGTTTGGCAGGATTAACATAGTAAAAAATTCTTTTTACCAAAAGCAATACACAGATTCAATGCAATCCCCATCAAAGTTCAAACTCAATTCTTCACAGAGATAGAAAGAACAATTTTCAGAAATTCAGATGAAGTAACAAAAAAAATCCAGAATATCAAAAACGATTCTCAACAATAAAAGAACCTCTGGAGGAATCACCATCCCTGACCTCAGTTTGTATTACAGAGCCATTGTGATAAAAACTGCATTGTATTGGTACAGAGACAGACATACAGATTAATGGTTAGATATCATTTTTAAAACATAAACTTATGTTTACTTTGAGAATGTATGTAGTTATACAGTAAAGGAAATATAATTTATGCTCATGTTGAATATAAATATATTCATGATACACTAAATACATAGATTAAATAAGATAAAATTAATAATTAAATTAGTGTCTAATACTTCTCTTTTACACCCACTCCTATTTCTTCCTCTCTGTTCCTACCAATCTTCTCTCTGCTAAGTAATAGAGAATAGCATGAAAAAAACTTATAGAAATCACAAAGAGTTCATTTGTATTTTATTTGACCAAGTATGATTGTTAAGCTTTTTCTGCTGTGTTCATTTTTAAGCTATTGCAGATGTTGGACTACCAATTGGATACATTGTGGGTTTTGTAGCAGGAAAACAAGCTTTTACTTTGCCTGTACAAGAAGCTATGCAAGCAGTGTAAGTCATTCTGTTTACTGTTGTATTTAGTTTATGTTGTACAGAGCACTGGTTCAATAATAGCAAATGCATTAAACTGTGGGTGATGCACACATACATATATGTAAACAAAAGTGCAATTATACTCTGCATTTGTATTTTTACTGTTTGAAATATAGTCAACATGATTGCTTAAAGGTTCATTAGCTTTATGTATTTTGTTGTTAAAAACATGCAATACTCATTCAATACATTACAACAGTAACTGTGTATTATACATAGAAGTTTTATCTTGGTTATTAATTAAAAGACTTTTGTCATACAATATATTCTGTTCATATTCTCTCCTTGCATCAAACTCCTCTCAGCTACCTCCCTACCCACATGATCTTATATACCTAGGGACTGTTTGTTTTCTACAGCAGAATGTGACTACATGTAATGAGAACACTCCATTGTAGGTCCCATGGCTAGTTTTTACCCAATACAAAATGAACTCAATGGGTTTTTTTTTGGGGGGGGGAACTTTTTCATTTTGTTTTATTATCTATTTCTTTGTCTTATTTGCTTTGACTTTTTTTGCTTTGATTTTCTTATTTGTGTGAATGTTGTTTCAGTTTTGTTCTGTTTTTTTGAATGAATGAAAAAAAGACATACATCATTTCTCCTATGGAAACACAATACTATACTACTGTAGAAGCATAGAAATAAATACATGAGTGAAAAGAATTCAAATAGATTCATCAAATAATTGAGTAAACAATGCCCCAGAAAGATGTCTTATGCCATCATGTCCCAGGAATCAATTAAATCTAGTATGTTTCCACGTGGGATTTGAAAAGGAGTTTAGTGTTAGATTCTGCCTCCTATATTTCTTCTTTTATCTCTCCCCCAACATCCTCTTCTTTATCCTTCCCATTCTAGTTCCTTTCTTAAATGTCGATAACATTGTGTTGTATTTCCCTCTTCTTTGGGAGACTGTGTTCTTCCTGGCACCTTAGTGGGTACCTAACTTCTGGGGTTATTCACATTGTAGAACACAGAATCAATGAATATGTATGAACAAGTATTACAGTAGAGTCTTTTTGGTGTTTGTCAAATGGTAGTATAATTGGATTGATGTATATTGATACCCAACTTCCTGATGAAACCTTTACCCTAATTTTCATAATGACTGTACTAGTGTGCACTCTAATCAGCATGTGCTATCATTTGTTTTATTGATTTTGATAGTTGTGACTGGTGTGAGGTGAAATCTCAAAGTAGTGCTAATTTGCATATCCCTGATGGACAATGTTGTTGGGCATTTCTTTTAAGTGTTACTCAGTCCTTTATATTTTATGTTTTGAGACTCTCTGCTGAGTTCTGAACACCATTTTAAATTGGGTTATTTTCTAATGCTTAATGTTTTAGTTTCATATATACTGTAGCTACTAACATTTTATATGAAATATAATTGCTTTTTAATTGTTCCTTTGGCTGCTGCTTTTCTTGAATGATGTGTTGCTTGCTTTGCCTTATTTTCAGCTTCATGATATCCTATTAATTAATTCTTGGCCTTAGGGCCTTACTATTGGAGTCCTGTCAGAAAGTTCTCTCTTGTGCCTTTTTCTCAATTTCTTGTCTCTGAGGATCTGGATTTATGTGGAGGTCAGTGATCCACTTGGAGTTGAGTTTTATGCAGAGAGATAGTTATAGATAGACATACTTGCATTTTTATACTTGTAGCCATCCACTTTTACCAGCATAATTTTTGAAGATAATCCTTTCTTCAGTGTTTATTTTTGGCTTATTAGTAAAAAATATCAGTGTCCATACATGTAGAATTAAGTCTGGGTTTTCAGGTTCATTCTGTAGAACAATGTGTGTATTGTTATGCTAATATCATGCTGTTTTTACTATGTTAGTTTCTTGTAAATCTAGAATTCAGAGGTGGTGATACTTTCAGCAATTTATTCACCATTCAGGATTGTTTGGTGTGTGTGTGTGTGTGTGTGTGTGTGTGTGTGTTTGTGTATGTTCATATGAAATGTTGTTTGTTTCTATTTGCAAAGAACGGTGTTGGAAATTTGATGAGTTTTGTCAAATCTGTAGTTTACCAATATTAGACTATCCATTTCCACTACATTAGTTCTTCTGATCCCATCATAAGTTCTTCTTAATATGTTAAGTTTTTATTATATAGTTTCTCACTCAAGGTACATTTGGCGGTATTGTAAAATATGTTATTTGATTGATTTCTTTCTTAGACTATTTGTCATTTGTATATGGGAAGGTTCCTGAATTTTCTGTGATGATTTCGTTTCCTGCTGTTCTGCTGAACGTGTTTATTGGTTGTAGACATTTCCTCATGGAGTGCTTAGTGTCTTTTATTCATAAAACCATAACATCTGAAAATAAAAATTGCTTGTTAGTTTTCCTTTTGTATTTCTATTAACTTGATCTTCCTCAGTTGTCATACTGCTCTAAGTTATAATTCAAGTAATAAAATGAGTAAATACGGAAAGAGACTTTTGTTCCTGGATCTAATTTTAGCAGCAATTTCTTGAGTGTATTTCCATTTAGTTGATGTTAGATGTGTGCTTGACATTAATCACCAGCGTTATGTTGAGTTGAGTCTTTTATATGTCCTGAATATCCAGTACTTTTATCATAAAGTGATGTTGAATTTGTCAAAGTCCTTTTCTGTATCTAATGTAGTGATCATGTGATTTTTGTCATTCAGTCTGTTGATGTGGTTAAATATATTTTTTGAATTAAATATGTCGAATGATATCAGCATTTCTGGGACTAGGCCTCATGGCAGATGATCTTCTAGATATGCTCTTATATTCAGTTTGCAAGTATTTTATTGAGATAATTTGCATCTGTTGATTGATTGTATTGATGAAAAACCTACATTACAATAAAAAGAGAACCTTGACAAAGTTTAATCTAGGGTGAGATCCAGGTATTAATTAGTAAAAGTGACTACAAATGCAAAGAAATAAACATCTTGATTAGAATTTCTGGAAAGCAAATGAAAAAGATAAAGATATTAAGAGGATTAGATCAGAGCCAGAAAGATGTCTTATTTGTAATAATTTGTAATCTGACCTCCTCCTATATCATATGCATAGACATACACATGTAAGCAAAATTGAAAAAATAAAAATTGTTATGGACTTTATAAAAAAATCAAGTTGGAATAAATGACTAATATATTAATATTGGGATGTTGCAGTGGGTAAAATATTTCTTGTAATCAGTTAGAATTCAAATTGATATAATATAATCTACCCATATAATGACCAATATTAAAAGATTCTTGGAAAATATTTGTTCACGTAATTTGTCCTCTGACCTCTACACATGTCCTAGTACATGTTCAATGTGCACAGCTGTCTTTTATATTCAAGTATACTCAATTTATTTACATATTCGGTTAGTCAGTGCTCTCTAGATTAACAAAATTTATAGAGTGAATTTCTATCTTTGCATATCTACATCCATACTATATCTGTTATACGTATATATACACACATATATACATATATACATAGTATATAATACATTATACATATTATATTAAATATTATACACACATATATTATATACAAATATATTTAATACACACACATATGTGTATATATATACATTTATATATATATATCCTGCTCATTGACTGATAGTTGAGTCTGAATTTCCATTTGTTCCATCCTTGAGGGTTGGTATCTCAGATGATCTTCAGTACCTGTTTGGTTCCTGACGAAATAGGCTCTAAGCCCAGTAAAGGAATGCATTATTAAGTCAGGGCAACAGCATGCAGTCAAAGAGCAAAAGTTGCCATGGAGAAGTCTATATATTCATTATTAGAACACAGATTAACATTACAAACAGTCCGTTCCTTAAAAAATACAGATAGACAATAAGTATTTGAAAATGTTTGACCACTCTTCATGTTAGAGTGATGAAAATAGAGCCTTCATTTAAATTTCATCTCAACTTGATCAGAATGGCAATAATCAAGAGAATAAATGCTCATAAGGATATGGAAATTGAAAAGTCCTTATTCACTGGTGGCAATATAAACCTGGACCATTATTGTGGAGGTTCCTCAAGAGAAAAATCCCAAAAATAAGGTCCTGAAGAGATATATTAGTAGTTAGAAATGCATACCACTCTTGCAGAAGACCTGGGTTTGGTCACAGCTGCCTGTGCCTCTGTTTCACAGGCAGTTGTTTATGTGTGCACACACACACACAAACACACACACACGAAACACGTCTTTATAAGAAAGTATGGATATATGATTTTATGCTTCTATAAAAGGTAACATAGAAATGCAAACCAAAAATTTATCCTGGCATGTAAATTACCTGAAGTGAAATTAAAACATCAATAGCATAATAGATACAATAGAAGAAAGAGTTAATGAGCTTGTAGCAGGCAATTGGAAAATACACAGTTGAAAAATAATGAAAAACGAGGTGGAATAATAAGAATGAATAAAAAGGATAAATATTGAGATTGTTGGAATTCAAGTGAGACTTCAATATGTCAAAGACATAAAAGATTTTCCAAAGAAATAAAAATTGCTAAAATCAAAATTATATAAATACTCAGACACAATAAGATCAAATGTCATCCAACAAATTACATTCAACCAAGTCTATGTAAATTATACTGTAATCTAGCTCTCAGAGATAAAAGGTAATTTAAATATTCAAAGGGAATAAAAGAAAATCATGTATAAAAGCCCAGACTTAAGTATTAACCCAGTTTTCTGCAGAAAATTTAAACTCTATGACAACGTATATAAATTTTATGTTTTTATTTTTTGAGATTAGAGCATGTTTTCATCATTTCCTTGTTCCTTTCCTCTCTCTACACCCTCCCATATACTCCTTCTCACTCCCTTTCAAGTTTACGGTTCTTTTTTCTCATTACTTGTTCTTACATCTAAATTCCTAAATGCTTTTGTAATACTGATAGAATTTAATGTAGATTACTTTAGATTGTTTGGAAGAAAAGGAAATCTA